TGCCCTATGGGGTGAAGCCGGGCCAGGACACACCGAAGCCAGAAGTTCGGGTGAAGCCCACGGTGAGCCAAGTGGTGTTGGTTGTTTTGGGTGGGGCGGTACTCTCCCAAGATGGGGAGAATCATGTTTAGGGTTGCCTATCTTGAGCAACCTACGGTTTGAAAGAGGACTTCGACTCCGGAGATCTCCTTTTGAAAGGGTTTCACCAGTAAGCTTGGTGAGCCTGCTACCTGACTGCCAGTTTCAGCTGTTTGGTGGGAACAAATGCGGCACGTGATAAGGATGCCCTGTACCCCTGCAAATTGCGCCCTTTGCTGGGCAAGCAATGGCTTTTACCGGTTTTATGTCTATGTGACCAGAGGGTAAAAGGCGCCCTTACGCTTGTCTCTAAGTGACTTGGAGAAATCATTCGGATGCAGGCTGTCTCTTTCATGGCGAGCTCACCTGGGGATAAAGCGAGCTCACCATGATGAAGGTCCTCTTCTTGAGGATTCCTTAGTTGGGGTTTGGAATTATTGTAGAATTTCTAGACAAAGAGTTTGTGTACATGTTGCATCTTATCTGTGACTCAAACTACAATGAGGATGTTGTTGCAGGGTACAAATTGAACTCGGATTTGATCACAGATGTTGCTCCCAAAACGCTGGGCGATCCCTGGAGTATGATGATGAATGACATGATACAAGGAATAGCCAAACTCTGCTGTTCTGTCGGCTGACGAGTGCTTTGAATGAAACAATCAAAGGTTCTGGAAGGTTTGTTCTTGTGTTATGTGTTTCCGAATGTGTGGATTTCTTGAACCCATTCATAGAAAGATAATGACAGCTGTACAGGGTTGACCAGCAAACCAGCAGACGATGATGCATGTCTATTATATCAATGAGCAATCTATGTTGGGTTGGCGACTGTTTGAGGGAGCATGCTCGGGCATGTTATGCAGTGCAGACTGTTTTGCCATCCCAACCGACTGGCTCTAGCTCTGTTCCTTGGTGGTTACCCATGTTGCCGAGCATGGCCGCAGGCATCAAACTGCCAAGTGCCTCACAGACGAATTGGCCCCAAGTTTGAGCTCGGTTCTTGCCAACTGCAATGCAATTCATCAGCCTTGATTGCAGAACTTCAGAACTGTGTTCGCAAAGATTCACACACAGGCCAAGGAACCGTATATCATCTCATATCTCAAGCAAGTGGTCTTCGCGGAGGAAATGCTGTGCATTACGGAAGGATGCCGCAAATTTCTTGGGAGGGCCTGGATTTAAGTCATCTTTCATTGTGGGCTTGCATTCATGACTTGGGGATTTGCACCTTTGGGTTTTGTTGGAACTCATTGCGAGCGCACCCTCCAACCTCCGAGCCACCAATAACCGCCTATCATGAGCATGCTGATGGTAAGGAACCTGTTATTCCACACTGAGCTGAGTGGCTCTCCCCTGCGTTGCGCTTGTTTCCAATCCATTGAATTGTTTGGGATTTGGTGAGGAAGTCATCAATCTTGTTTGATCAGATATGTGTTCCTCCTCGCAAAATCGCACAATTAAACAAGCCCTTATTATGATAGTTGAAATAGGAGCCTCTTGCTTAGCCCTGCCATTTGAGCGTTGGGTTCTTTGAACTAGAGCCTCGCGATAGGAGGCTGCCTGGCTCAATGCGCAGCCGGAGCTTTGGCGCAACAGCAACCCCAAGCGTCAGGCGGACCGTGGAGAGGCAGGGTCCCCGCCTGGTCGGGGCTCGCTATTGTTGGAATCTTTGGGTAGGCTCAAGCCCAGACAGGGCCCCTTTCTAGTAAATCAACTTGCAAAGTACCTCTTAGGTTTTCCAGCTGGGCTGCTTTAAACATCTCCCTTTGATTACTGTCCTGAACCAAGCCAACTTGAAAGGGGCATGACATCCAGCGAAAATGCAACACAAACGCCCAAAAGCGAACAAAACCAGCAGAACAATACGCAGACCCTAGCAACCCCATGTTTGGTCAGGCGTCTGCCTTACACATCTTGGTACTAATCGTGACAAGGTACCCCCTAAAAAAGCGAAAAGAGTGGCCGTCTTGTTCAAAACAATTAAATGAATAGTTCTCCGAATCGAGGGTCTGGGGGTATTTTCCAACAAGTCACCAACCTGACATAAGTCACAATTGCGAACCAATCCATCGACTGAGGACTCCCTTTCTCATCGCGGCACAAGATGCAATCATCCCCAACAGTTGCAACGCATATCTTGGCATCTGTGAGAGGAACAATACGTAGAACATAAAATGAAACTGTTACGAATCCCCGCGCGGAACAACCCCGTAACCACGAACCGACCGACCGACCGACCGACCGACCTATTCATCAACAAACCTACCTACCCACCTACCTACCCACCTACCTACCCACCTACCCACCTACCCATCTACCTACCCACCTACCTATTCACCTACCCACCTACCTATTCACCTACCCACCTACCATGTTTGCTTCAATCGCTTGAGTTTCCCCAGCCTGACCAACCCCGAAACTTGGCTTCTTGCAGCATGCATGTCCCCCACATCACCCTGAGCATCTCACGTGCGCCTGGTGTGGCACAAGCACGCCAACAGATATCTGTGGAAGTGTCAACCATTAGACTCACTTGGCTGTAGTTTTTCTCAAGAAGCCCTAAAAAGAGTAGACAAGCCACATTTGTCTGATGTGCGCCAAAGGCTTCATGTGCACTGACTCCTACCAATTGCAGAGAGGTGTCGCAGATGCTGCAGCTGCTGAGGGAGGAAGTGGTGCAAGCTCTGTGAGAGGCGAGGGCACAAGTTCTAGTGAACCGGGGATGTTGCATGTTTTTGGATGGCGGTTTATTTTAATACGGCGGCCCATGAATGGGAGGTTTTTGTTTGGTGTCCCTTTGGGCAACCTCCAATACGCTCAAGAAAAGACACCGTGATGGGGAAGCACTTTGTCGTGCAAGAGCATGCTTGGCGGCAGTTGCTTTGTTTCCTTGGTATGAGTTTGGTGCAGCTTGGTTGCTTTCAATTGGGCAGTTGCTGTTTGCATGATGCATTCACGCTGGCAGTTGCTTGCTTGAAGCTTTACACCTTTCCAGTGCCCGTGTTCTGTGCTCATGGGCGTTTAGGCATTGAATCCAGAGTCTTTCCCTTGGAGGACCATTCAGTCTCAGAAAGCACAATGTATGTATGTGTGTGTGTGTGTTTGTGCAGTCGATTGGCGCTCATTCAATTGTTTGAACTATGGTCACTGATGATCGACTGTATGAATACGAGGTCTCAATGGCTTGTGCTTTTGGCTGGCTCGGCTTGGGGCAAGGAGGAGACAGCCGCTCGCTTGATCAATGAGAGACTTGGTCCCCCAGTAGTGCCCTTTTACCCTTTTTCGGGGGAGGGTTCCCCCACTAAAATCGACTACAGAAAAAAGGGTACCCTTATTCTAACCTCTCTACTGGAGGACCTAGGAGAACAAGTAGGATGCTGTCTGATTTCCCGGGTGGTTCAATGGTTGTCCGTATACATACATATATATATATATATATTTGTTTGTGGTACGTCAGTGAAGTTGCAATGGCTATGATCCCTTTTCCTTTTTTGATGAGTTCCTGTTCTACACTGGCCACTGGGCAGGTGGGATGGTCGAAGAAGCTTCACTTGGAGACTGGCGCATGACCATTTCAGTTACCTCCAAAGTGGGGCAGAAATTGGCAGAGACAGGCCTTCCCAGTTTTGAGAAGCAACCAATGGTGCTAAAACACATGTGATTTGCCAAAAATGCGGCCCCTGCAAGACGCTTGCAGCACGGAATATGTGTAAGTGATACAAATTGTAAAGTGTCCACCCTAGCACCACATCTATTTCGGGAACCCTAACTATTTGAGCGCTGGGTGCTCATCTTTTTTTTTGAGAAGTTTGTGCGCCAGCTTGGATCGCATTCTTGTCAATGGGCAGGAGACCAACGCACGTGACAGATCTAATCGAGAAATGGTATAGAGCCACTGATGGAAATGCGCCTCTGGTTGACTGATATCGGGGCTGTTCCATTTCAGATGCGATCCTTCACTTTTGGGGGGAACTCACCGCCGCCTGACACGTCAGATTATTTTTATTTGGGGTCATTGGGAGAGGGATGAGGTTGGTTATCACTCAAAACAGCCAAAGCAGATCCGGTGCATCGAGGCTTGCGTCAGCGCGGATGCTACTTGTCTCGTTTCTGACACCTCGCACACGCCTAAGGCTGTGTGTGAGTGAAGGGCTACTTGGCAAAGGGCCGGGATTGCCGCGTTTCCGTTCCTTCCGGTCCAAGATATGAACTCTGGGCCAGGGATCAATCTGTGAGATGCTTTGTTTTATTTGAGCAAATTGCTGGCCTTGGCCAGACCTCGGAAGGGTCTGATACAGACCCTTCGCTCAAACTGTACAGAAAGCGCGAGGACAAGGCTGTGGCAAGCATCAGGGCTCTCTTGCCCTTGTCGTTGTACAGCTGCCGAGGTAGCCTTCGCAGAAGCGCAAAACAGACATCGCATAAAAGCTTCCCCTTCGAAAACAAAGGCACAAACCTGGAAAAATGGGAGGGGGGTGATTGGCTTGTTGGGGATCTCCTGTTGGGTTCTGGGTACTTTTGACACGCTACTAGCGGTTTCACAGTACTTTCTTGAATCCAAAGCAGGGAAGGGTAGGGGACGTCATTCAACAGTTTACTGTGGGGGTTGTCAGGGCTTGGAAAAGACATTGCCATCGTCAGCATTGTGATTGTTCTCATCCAGAGAGGCCTTTTGTATTAGGTGGAGAAACTAAAAAATGCTGAGTGAATCAGGCTCGCTCCGCACAAATCGTGCCCGGTGTTCCGCGCTTGGCCGTGATGGGTTGTTCTGATGTTTAATCGATTATATGACTTAGCTGCTTCCTGAGATACGGCTTCCCTCCAAGTCAATTCGAGCTCAAGTCAAGTCAACCATTCGGTACCCTGTTGAGCTGGGTTTCATGTCAAAAGGACCGAGGTCACGCAAAGGAGGGAATGGCCTAGGCCCGCCGCCCTCTTCGCGCTGCAGCCGCAGGTGGTGGTGGTCACGAGACCGGCGCCCAGAATGAGAGTGCTCCTATATAAAACCCCTTTGGTCTTGAGGTCCCCGGCGCTGACTATGCCCATTCCGTTGCATCACTCACCAATGATAGCGTGCAGCATCCATAAGAAGCGCGCTCATTCAACCGCATCCGCCAACGGGATGCAGCACAATGCATCTTTGTCCAAGAACACGTTTGACAACAATCAGCAACTTAGCTCCAATCCAAATTGCGCGCCCCTAGCGATGAACAGGCTTGGAGCGAGTTACAGTAACGCCTGGGCACCAACGATGAGCGCATCCGTTTGCTTAAAGCTATGAGCGCACTGCCCCTCCGCACAAACGATCGCTCGTGCCAGTGAGAAGCGCAAACCGTTTCTGCAATCCCTGCCAACCATAAGGTGTGTCCTTTGAGGGTATCCTGTTTGGGGCTGGTTTCCCGTTGAAACCGAACGAAGCTATCCGTAGACCTTCCAATGAAAACAGCATGAGCTGCGGCCGACAGGAAAGCTCTTGGTGCCAATTTAAGTGGGCGCGCCTTTTAGATGGCGATGAGTTGTCAAGCCGGACACCCTAGAAAATTGTAGGAGATAAATCTGTCTACCAAAGGGTTCCCAACAAAAAATCATACCTTTGGTTTCCTTGAAAGCAACCCAAAAAAAGGGCATCAGTTCTACAAACTGGTGCTGTTTGGTTATCATAGGAACAGACACTTGAACCAGGTTAACCATGACCATTCCAAGGATTGGGGCAGGGATAATTGTAAGGCCGAACGTGCTCGGTGCAAATGATGAGGACACCTAAATCGCATCCGCCCATCAAGAATGTGCTGTTGCAATGACGAGTGCGCAAACAAACCACCGCAATGTCCTGATGTCCTGCGGTACCACCTAAGAAAAAAGCAGAAAAACACACACACAAAAAAACGCTTTTTCTCCGCCATCGCCATCGGTAGGTTTGCTTTCGTCCGTAAGCTCTGCGAGCGTCTGGCCCTCGAGGCCCCAACGCGGACTTCGGAGAAAGCAGCGACGAGGAAGAGGCTGAGGTGCGCAACGCTCGAGCTGTTTGCAGGATGACCGTAGAGCCCAGGGGCTCCCTATATTTCCCTTTTAAGCATCTGGTTGTCAATTTAAGAGGAATCACGTGAAATCAGGTTTCAATGCGAAATTGACTTCCCCGGTCTTTGCTGCAAATCCTACCCTGACTGGGGGTCCCAGTGGCTCAAATTTGTTCACCGGGCCCCTGGGATACAAGCAAAAACCCGTGAATTGAGAGTGTTTTCTTTTAAGTGGTCCGATTTGTGAATAGGTGGATTGTTCTTTCAAGCCTATTCACCCAAATCTCGTAAGCACTTGGTATCGGACTTGTGGGTTTCCTTGTATGTACTCCGCTCACAGGCCCCAACAACCTGAGGGATCCTTTTATGCAGCATGCAGATCCCACCCCTGGGCTTAAGTCTTTTGAAGGGTAACCCAAATTGGCAAGCCAGAGAGAGGCCTTATTCGACGACGCCCTTTCTTGTGTTCCACGCTAGCTGTAATCTTATTTTAGGTCAGGCTTTAACTGCCTTGAGAACAGGTTCGAATGAACCCAGCACTCGGAATGCTCCCTGCATAGCAAAGTGCAATTGCCGCGTGCATGACACCAGACCATGATCCTTGACCCATATTGACCCTGAGAGATCTCCTTCGTAACCGATCGGCTGTTTATACCTTAGGGCCTTAGGATAAAAGCGTGAGGTTACCACTCCGCGTGCTTCCAGACTGCATAGAAATGCTGGCTGGGTTTGAATCTGCAACACCTTGCGTTGCAGCATGCATGTTCCGCACTTGTGCAGTTTACAATCCATGGTGTCCCCTTGAAAGCTGAGCTTCGGTTTTTGGAAGTCAGAGTGTAAACATTTATTTGAGCCCAACCACCTGGCACCTGTGAGAAGTCTTTTGGAGACCCTGAGTTTGGCAGGGGCTGTCAGGATTAACCTGCAAGGAATTGAGGATAAGAACACTTAAGTGGTTGGCTTCCCAAGTCAACCGGATTTGATTTTGTTCATGTGACTCTCAAGCTGCGCGTAGCCTACGGGACACCCATTCAAAAATTGGCATGAGGGAGATGAACACTCCCAGTTGAAGCACTGCAGGAGCAAGCTACTCACAGGGGTTGTCAATCCTACTATGACCTATTTTTGTGCCCCAGAAAAAAAGGGGGCATTTCTTGCCGGGGCCGAAGGCTTTCTGCGACTGTGGGGCTCCTGAATGTGTCCTGGTGTCCTTGTCAGATTTTGCAATAAACATTAAATCTCTACAAGAATACACCAAACACTCACGGAAGCTAGCCACAGGAAATTCTGCAGGAAACTGACAAAATACCGAGCAGAACAAGGATATTCTGCAGAGTTTCCCTTTTTGCTGGTTTCCATGAAACACACACACACACTCAACATGTCGAAGCGGTCAGATCCAAAAGCGGCGGCTGAATTCGCTCCCGGCGATTTCTCTCCGTCAGGCCAAGCCCCGGCAATTCCGGCACTCAGACCATGAGCGCGAGTGGAGCCGTCAGGACGGCTCTGCAGGCCCCTCTTCACGCCTTGCAACAGTGCATCGACCCAAAACCGAATCTATCAAGTTGAGCTTTCCAAGTTTGGTCTTTTTTGAAGGTTTCAAAAGGTGAGCCGATGTCCAGGTCAGAGGGGCAAGTGAGTGGGCTGGAAGAAGTTGAAAGTTTGCCTCTTGGCTCAGCTGCACTAGAGGGATTTGTAGGTCTTACTCAAAGCAAAATCGCAATGGAGGATAGAAACTTGTTGGTAGGCCAGCCTACATGTGTTCGCCTTGTCTGGCCCCGTGATACTTTTCGTGCCGTGTTTTTTCAATTAGTTCGACCGAGTTCCTTTCTGATGAGTCATTGGCCAGGCTTTTCAGCACCAAGGTGGAGTAAAAGGTGGGTGTCTGCTTTTGAGGATACCCCTTTTGAGGATACCCCTGTTTTGACAGGTGCTCCAGTAATCTGCCCACGTCGTTTTGGCCACGAGAGTCAGGAGTTCCGGAGCTGGGCAGAGGCAGCCTGTGACGCCCATGGCGCCTTGGACACGTTTTGGGTCCCTTGTGCTCCGAACCCCGAAGTGCGCAAGGGGTCTTTGTGTGACTCAGCCAACCTAGCCTAGTCACTTTTGGGGCCAGTTCTAGGTGAGTTTCCTGCTGGGGTGATGTCGCGGAGCGGGAAGAAGTCAAATACTGGGAGCCTGGGCGCACCTGTTTGCGGTAAGTGCTTGGACCCCGTTTGCTTCGATTCGACGGGGAACAATGACCATAACACACCTACCCGCCCGAACGCATGCACGCCTCCCCTCGCCCACACGCATGCGCGTGCACAGACACAGAGCCAGAGAGACAGAGAGAGGGAGATAAACAAGCACACACACACACACACACACACACACACACACACACACACACACACACACACACACACACACGCACGCACGCACGCACGCACGCACGCACGCACGCACGCACGCACGCACGCACGCACGCACGCACGCACGCACGCACGCACGCACGCACGCACGCACGCACGCACACGCACACACGCACGCACACACACACACACACGCACGCACGCACACACACACACACACACACACACACACACACACACACACACACACACACACACACACACACACACACGCAAGCGCACACTCACAGAGCCCGTATGCAGGAGGAAACACACACACACACACACATGTGTGTGTGTGTGTGCGCGTTTGTTTACGAAGAGGGACCAAGTAGTAGCATAGAAGCTCTGAAAGGGGGGAAAGTGGGGAGGTCCTTGACTAAGCCAGGAAACCAAAGCCAAACCGCTGCCTAGCCCCCCTCTTAAACATGGCACTTGATTGATGAATCTTAACCAAACCCTAGGATCCTGTGGGATATGTGGCGTTAAAGCGGATATTTTAACCTGGCAAAAGCGCCCAGCCTGCTTATTCTAGTCACACGCTGATTCTGGATAAACTTTGATTCTGTTGACTTGTGGCAAACGCCAGGCGTGCCCTTCCTACAGTCGCCTTTCCTGTGTTTCCTTCGTTATGCTTCGCAAACCCAACGGCTTTGCCTTTCAGTCTGGCCTCCTGACCGATGGTCGCTCGCCCGCAGCGCTCAGAGCGGCTGGCGCTGTGGCTTTTAGTGTCTCAATGCAGGGGAGTTGCTGACAACATTGTGCCCGCCGTGGATTGAACCTACAAGTGGCACAGTGTTCAGAAGGCAACAGTTAGGTTCCACATTTGGGTAGCCCAGATTGGCATGAACGTTGACGGCACATACAACACCCTCCTAACACATTGGTCCCAAGTTTGAGACCATACCCTTGTTCCAAGAACCATGGAAGTGAGGAGGCTTTTCAAGACTCCATTCTTTTCAAAACCATCCATTGTCAGCTTCCATTGTTGCCAGGGCATCATCCCCCCCGGCCTCCCCCCCCCGGCTCCCCACCCCTTCCCAGCGCGAGGCTATTGGATCTCGGAGTTCGGCGGGGTGGGCCACCTCGATGGCTTCGAGTCCCAAGGCAGGCGAATCGCCGATTCACGGCGATCGGCTGACCTGGGTCCATCAGCCCAGCTGACATGTTCGCAGGGTAAAATGTTTTTCCTTGTTTCTGTGTGGTTCTTGAGATGGCTTCCAGGTTTTGCGGGGGAACAAGTTGTGCGGTTTCGTCTTGATGTTGCCAGGGGTAAGTTGCCGGGGGTTTGTTTGCCAGGGGTCAGCTTGAGAAGTGGCCTGAGGTTGGAGTTATATACTTGAGGGGGACAGGTGTTTGTTGGGGAAGCTGCCCCCGCATGCTCTCTCTGCATTGAGCTGCACATCCGCGCGACGGCTTGCTCTTGCTCTTCATTAGTTTCTTGGGGTATGCTGTTTGGGGGGGGGGGGCGGGGGGTGGCCTGGTCGCTGAACTCCCATGTACCGATCTCCAAGCTGGCCCCATGTAGGGCCCCTTGTTGCATTGGAAGGAAGGAAGGAAGCCGCTGAAAGAAAGCATCTCCAGAAGACACCGCATGTTTGACAACTAAAACCAGCTCAGAGGACGTAAATGGGCGACGTTCCGGATATTTTCGGGCTTGAGTCGAGGTATGACTTGCAACTGTTAAAAACCGGCAAAACAAGGAAACCAATTGTATAGCTTCAAGAGTGGCAACCAGCAGACTCCCGGGCGAGCATGTCACCTGGACATTTCCTATGGCTATGAATCTATATGGGGAATACCCATGTAAATTCCCATGCAAATGACGACCATCAAAGGGTGCCCCAATGAAATGGTGGTTTTGTTCCGCTCAAGTAAACACGCGTAGATGTTGACATATGGCTGTGGGTCAGAAATAGGTACCCAAAAAGGAACCCTGGTAAGTGGAAACTTGGACTAAAACCCGCGGTCCCCTGGTGGTTTAGTTTTGACCCACACCCATATCAAAAACAGACAGGTAGCACCGCACTGCAACGGCCATGTCATGAAGTCGCATTGGACTGGCAATCTTCAGGCCCTTGCACCCAGCTCTGCGTCTTCGAGCGCAGGGATGAGGAGGCGGCCCTGTTTCCTAGCTGCGTGGGGTTGGTTTCATAGCTGCCTGGGCTTCCTGGATTCCCCGCCGGTCCTAGAAGCTCCTAGGCCCAACATCGAGAGCGAAGCGAAATGAGCTGTGGATGAAACGGTGAGGTGCAACCTGCATGGTAGGTTTGCAGCGGTACCTGGCAAGGAATAGTCAGCAAAATGACAGTCCAAAAACACGCAATGTGCGCAAGCCCATTCTGATTGGTACCTGGAAAATGTCTCAGTACCCTGCTTGCCTCAGATGTTCAGAGCGCGCAGTTGAGAATCAAGAGATGTTTGGCGAGCAAGCCATCCAAGAAAGAAAACGAGCCAGATAAATGATGTCTAAGACTAGACATCTTATACTGGCTCCATGTATGCTTGCCTGTTTTGATCTCCTCGTTTCTCCTTACCTGTTCAAGCTGCTGCTGTCACTTGTTGTTCAATTGGAATCTGATATGTCAAATGTTATTGCATGGTAAACGACGTATCATCATCAGAGTTTATTGAAATTATATATTCATTGAAATGTATCTCCATGAGACCACTACAACTATAATCTCGTCATGTCTTATTTTATTGTCTTTGTTTCACTACTATCTACCTTGATTACACAGAGGTTCATTTGTAGGTGAGGGAAAGGAGAATAGACATGAAGACACCGAATAGAAAGGCAAGCAGAGCGCAGCTGCCTTGCTGCACAGGACCTGAGCAAAAATCCGGGTCAGCCTCGTTTAACGCGGCACTGGGCCAGGCCATCGCCGATCCCAACTCTGAGGACCCGATTCAGGGAGTTTGGCAGCCTCACCTTGGGGGTCGAAGTGGTTCCAAGGGGCCGCATGGAGCCTGACAAAGTCTCTCAAAAGGCCAGAGGCCGTGGGGGCGACCACTCTTATGGGCCCCTCGATGAACCTTTGATTTCGCCGGTGTTGCGGACAACTCTTATGGCTCTGGTGCCATCTGGGCAAGCTGACAATCCCGTGGCATGAAAGATGCAGTGCTCCCTTGCCCGAGCAAGCAATAGCCAGGGGCCCATTTCAAGACGGGATTGAACGTCCTTTTGGTGAGACAATGTCAATATTGAAAGGCTCAAACGTATGTCTCAAACTTGGCTGGTTTCAAAAGGATCAACATGATCAGAGCCCGACTTTGAGTCAAGTCCAGATGATGCAATTCATAAAGTCCGAGCCATGTTGACAGGAGGGAGAAGCAAAGATCAGCTGCACGATTCGGCATTCTCTGCAGGTCCTTTGGCAAAGATGCTTGTGTGTGTGTGTGTGTTTGTGCCGATCCAGCGACTTCCAGTTCTGTTCAACCATAGTTCTTTTTTGAGGCACCCCTTTCTCTGGTGCTTGGTGTTTTTGTGAAAGACGGATTCCAAGGGAGCCTGGGGATGTTACCACTATAGCCGAAATGGTCTCCGCGCAGGAGTCAGAGCACAGACTCAGCTTTGTGATGGCAGAGCAGGCGGGAAGTGCCGGGGGCGAAACTTCCGAAGACTTGGTGGCAGTTCCCGAGTCCAACAGCTACCCATTTGTCCGGCGATGAAGGCTACCAATTTCATGGGCTGCCTCTAGCAGAATGGCCTGTCCATTGTCCTTGGGAGGTGCCCAAGGGATTCGTCTGGTGATAAGTTTTGCCAGGCACCGAACTTGCCAGAACGTCTCCGAGTCAAAAGGCAGCCTCCAGTTTGAACAGGAAGCCTCAAAGCGGGTTTTTTACTGGGCCACCCATTGAAACAATATTCCGGGGTCGCCCCAGGAGACATTATTTTCCGGAATTATTTGTTTGGAATAATGTTTGAAGGGGGGGAGTTGGGGTCACCTTGATTGCTTTTGCAAAGTTCATGACAACTTATGGACCCCAGGAATAGTTGATGATATGTTTGGATAGTGCCGGTTCGGCTGTTGGCCGCCTGGTGATTGCTGGGGAATGCGATGGTGGTTCTTGCGTGTGTGGGAGGGGTTGGAATAATGTCCAACCAGTTTGGAGTTTCCTGCTTGAGGCATGGCACGGAAAAGGTGCGAAAAAGAGTCGGCTCCAAAATAGCAAACATTGTTTCCGGGATTTTAACTACGGTCAGAATCATGTATGCCCATGGTGGTCAGGATGCCCAGGAAGAATGTGAGAACCTATTCCAGGGTGGGCCAACGAGGCCCCCCCTCTCAGGACATGGCCCCCATGGAATTTTGGTTGACAACAAAGAAAGCCATTCTGTGTTGAGCAGCCCAAGAGAGACCATCTTTGTGGGTCCTTTTTTTTGCTTTTTGCCCCATGTGTCCGTAGAGCAACAGGACAACAAACAAAGAAAGAAACAAGGGGGGAAAACGGAAAAAAAAAAAACAAAAAAGGAAAAGAACAACAACAAAAACGAACAACGAAAAACAAATGTCCCTGTTTGCTATTTTTCCCCATGTGTTTGTTGAGCGACCAGACAACCAGAAAAAACACAGTTTGGTGGAGCAACCCTTCGCAGGTGGACGTGGAGCAGTTGAAGGCCGAGGCCTTGCGGAGTGAAGACCTGGGAGGCGCCTATTTTTTTTCGGATTCGATGGCTAGGTGCCCCAGTAGTGCCCTTCTCTCCCCTTTTTTGGGGGAGGGTTCCCCTACTAAAATAGACTACAGAAAAAGGGTACCCTTATTCTAACCTCTCTACTGGAGGACCTAGATGGGGTAGAGGTGGTACACGGTAGAGGGAATCCAGTTTGGGGAGTGGTTGAAAGAAATCGGAAGAGGTGTGGTGCCGAAATTGGAGGGAGGTTTTGTGGCTGGAATAGTGGGGCTTTGTTGCTGGACGGCTTTTGACTGTTGTTCTTCTTGTTCCATTTTTTTTAACAAGGTCCATACTGGTGCTGGTGTCCGTTTGCTTTAATGAGTCGAGGCTATTGTTTGTGCAGATGTACCATGTTTGCAGCCTCTTTCTCCTGTGCGGCCTTCTGAATTCAAAGGGAGCTGGTCGCTCAAAGTCAGCGCTGGTCTTGCGACCCCGGTGGAAGCGGCGCGCGAGGCGGGCTCTGGAAATACGTCCACCGCGAGGGCCTCGGCAACCTGCCGGCGCCACACGCCCGTGCCCCTCGGCCCAAGAAAGGCGTACGTTCTTCCGCACTGCCTGAGTTCTTGGACTTTAAACTTTTGGGGGTTGGACCATTTCAGAGGCAAACAAAAGAAGTTCGGACTTGTTTGGCCAATTCGCTCAGGAAGTGAGCTTCCCATGCTGTTGTGGTGGTTGCCTGTTTTGTTGATAGGGGAGACAAAACATTTGAGGGGGGGGGCTGAGGGGGCGCATTTTGAGACAAGCCTCACCTCATGACAAAAGATGGTGCAAGCAAAATGACAAGGAATGGCGGTACATCAATGGAAGGTCATTCCCTTGACTTGCAGTGTAACGTGGGAATTAGATGCAACAAGCAATGGGTGTTGCATTTTCTCCGACAATGTTTGACCAGCCCAAACGTAAGTTGAGGGTAATGCCCCCCCACTCCCACAACAGCTCCCCAAGAGTACATGTTGGCGTTGGTGCAGTCTAGTATTCCTGTAGTATTGCTTAGTGCTGGCTTAGTATTGGTTTGGAATTGGTTTAGTATCGCCCAGTGCTACCTTAGCACTCTTAGTATTGGCTTAGTGTTGGTTTGTACAACTTGTGTACGGCGTTGTGCTAGTTTAGTATCGGTCCTTTTCGGTCCTCCTTCGGCCCTCTTGGGTCCTCTCTGACTAGTGTTGGGCGTTGCTTGGTACTTGGTTTAGCATGGCAAAGGGAAGGTGGTGAAGATTTGGGGAGACCCTACTTCAATATCTAAGTTTCCCAAACGGACACCAACACGGGATTTGTCATGTGACTAATGTTTTAACTTGTCCAGACCCATTTTTTTTGCAACTCATCAAAAGGACACCCAAAGGAACGAAGAAGCCCATGTCGGCAGTTCCCTCACAACAAAATGGGGGCCAAAAAAACACCACAACGGGGAAACAACCACACAGCAAACAAAGACAAACTACCAACAAGAAACCACCACCATGCTGGTTTACTTTTTGGCTTCCCTTCGAACCTGCCCAAGAATGCCCTCAAAACGCCCACGCCCTGAGACCAGGTGAACCTCCACTACGCCACGTTTTTGGGCGACGGCAAGCGCGTGGACACCAGCCGGGAGAAGAAGCGGAGCACGCCCTTCGCGTTCCAGCTGGGTGGTCAGCAGGCATGGCGCCAAAAAGGGGTGGAAAGGGTATACATGGGTGTGGCTCAAAATTAAACAGGAGGGGCTACGCAGGTTTTGGTCCATGTTTGCTCCTACCAGGGTTCCATTTTGGTACCGGTTTTTTGAGCCACAGCCACATGCCGATTTAATTCTGCCGTTTGCTTTGGAGGTGTGTGTGTGTGTATTTCAGCAAAGGTGTGCGTGCCTGAGACATATGATCATGTGACAAGATTGATCAATGCAACGCGCGCCTCTACATGTGTGTTTTTGTGTCTTGCAGGAATGACAGCTGGGAAGAAAGTGCGTCGTGTTGGTGCTGTGCACTGAATGTTCAACAGTGGGACCCCAAAGCTGCATCCATCAAGCTCCGCTTGACTTGGCATACAGAACGCCGGGTCATGTCAGCCGCCCAAAGCTCCGACGTCGAAGCGCTCGAGGGTTGTGAGCGCATGCTGAGCTCCATTGGGTAGGGGGGGGTGAGTAGATGCCTATTTCGGGCAGAGCCACACATGGCAAAGGAATCACATACGATGAAAAGTGCCTTTCGCCAGGCATCTTTGACACCAGGCGTAAGCTTCGGTCCTCAATACCCTCAGTACTACTCCCCATATGCAGGATTTAACCTATTTCTCAATTTCAATGGCAATGTTAGCGGATTAATCTAGAGGACCGCACTCATCAGAGGAACCCCTGCCAGCATCTGCTGTGGTTTGCCAGCGCCTCACAACGAGCTTGATCTTGCTTGAAGCACCCGGAAACCACGTAGCAGAAGATGAATAGCCAGTACGAAGGATGTCCTGATCAGTTTTGGTCATGACGCCCATCACAGGAAATTATATCAAATGATGATAGCGACGACGACGACGACGATGATGATAACGACGACGGCGACAACGATGATGACGACGACGATGATGACGATGATGATGACGACGACGACGATGAGGATGATGAGGATGACGACGACGATGAGTATGATGATGACGAGGACGACGATGCTGATGATGATGATGATGATAATGATGATGATGATGATGATGATACGGTATAGCTCCTTTGTTTGGATGTCATTTGGGTTCTTGACGCCAAGGGTCAAATCGCCAGGCGCTGGCTGCCTGGCAGCTAGCCGCCGCCTCCATGCGGCCCGGGGAGGCGGAGTGGTTTGGGCCAAATACTCGGCAAATAGCTTTGCTTTCTTCTAAGAGACGGAAGGAAGGGCAGAGCGATATTTTCCAGACCACCTAAGCACCCAGTTCAAAAAGATGTCTGAGGAGTCCTTCTATTTTGTGCCAGCGGAATGCATCCATTTAGCAAAGGGAGAAGTTGAGGTGCCCTTTGTTTGCTGCATGAGGGAAGATCTGTTCTGTCTGAGGGCACTTTCTGGGCTGGCCATAGTTCAGGATGGTTCATCCTGAAAAGTGTCCAACACGAGATAGCAGCAGAGAAATGGGATACATACCTTCGTGTGCAGGTTGCATTGAGAGTTCGGAAAGGCCGCAGGAGTTTGCGTCCTTACCAGAAAGCTTCGCGTTACGCGCATACCGCCTTTGAAAAAAAAGAGACCTTGTTTCATTACCCGACTTGCTTACCTTTTCAGCTTTTTGCATTTTTAGTTTAAAAAAAAAAGAACCTTCAACCAGTGAGCGTTCAGAAGTTGCAGGAGGTCGAAGCCTGGAAGAGAACTTGACAAGCATGTGCAAGGATCCAGAACGATTGGCATTTGTTCGGAGGCTGGAAGTTAGGGAGCCCCCAAAAGAACTCTTGTGGACACATGTTTCTCAGCTTGCTATGATTTGTTCAGATGTTTGGATTCAGGACGTGCAGCTTACTTTCACTGCTATGGACGCCTTCCTCTTTACTTCCCTGTTTGATCCTGTTTGTCCAAGAGTCGGCAAGACCTGGGCCACCGACAATGTTTGCGGCTGGTTCATGTTTGAGTTGGGGCGGACACCCAAAGTGACTTGCTCGCTTTCGCGACTCAGGGGAATCGTGCAGGTGGCGTGGGTTTACAGCCCATCCTCTTTTGCCTATGGTGAGAGAGGTGTGCCTTGGACACTTTGAGTGGGAGCCTTCTGAGTATTGGATTCGCCTTCTGGGGGGTTCTCGCGGCGGCCTTCAGAAGAATACTTCATGTCAACCTCGCACAAATCAGAACCGAGTCGTGGTGATCATTGACATGGATTGACTTCCCTGCGCAAAGATGAAAGAATTGCTTGGAGGTGTGTGTTGTGTTGAATTGCTGTTGTTACACTGTTGTTGCGGTGATGTTTGCTCCTGCTCATTCAAGGCAAGTAGGAACCCGCCGGTCCTTTGGAAGTTTTTATGTCCGTCTTACACATGAGGAAGCTGATGTGTCAGCCATGTGAACTGAAGTGCGCATATATCACTTGCTTGCAATGGTACCATTTTGGTGTAGGTGGATTCACCACCCATTTTTAGTCTATTGTAGCGGGGATTGGGATGTTCACTGGGGGTATAGGATTTTGACGCATGGCCATGTGACAACGAGGCTTTTTCCCATTGGGGCAACCCCACCTCAAACGAGTCGCGCCCAGGCTCCGCCGCTGGTGCCGGGGGATGCGGCGGTGTACTTCGCGCTGGAGCTGAACTTTGCGCGGGCGCCGGGCACGGTGCGGTTCTTCGGGGACCTCACCGCGGCGCTGCAAGAGGCGGAGAAACACATGGAGGCCACTGGGATCTGTGGACGGGGAGGGGGGGGGGGAAGGTTATTTTTCTCTGGGTTGATGCATTTCGCATTTGGATAGATGGACTCCTAGGGTTGGAATGGCAGTGGGGATACGTCAAACAAGTATGGCCATGGGGTCCCTTGGCACCGCTGGAGTGTCCGCCAGCATCGCAGCTTGGAAACTGTCAACACTCTGGCACTGCTGAGTTGGAGACCAAGAGCCAGTGCTGCAGGCATGGACCATGGAGGCTCATGAACAATCGCTTTGGTTTTCACGTTGACTCGCTTTCTTTCCAACTAGTCAAACCAAACCGCAGCACGTGTTTGTCTTTTTCGCCGCCTTCCTCGTCACCTGGTCGTTGCCGGCCGCTGGTCGCCAGGTGGGGCGCGGGGACGTGAAGCGCCAGGCCGGTGTGTGTTGTTCCCAGGGAGACCCCGAACCACATACAATTGCACAAAAGTCCTTCCAAAGTACAACCAGTATTTTTTTCCAGTGCCCTTTCAGAAGCTTCACAGGTTCCTCTTTTTTTTGCGTCGTCTTTCGCCTTTCTTTTGCCGTTGAGCCCCCCCCCTTTCCCCCTTTGCAGGCCCTCTGGGCCCCTGGGGGTTCCCCTGCTACAACGAGCTCGGCCCTGAGGCCTTTGCGCAGGCGCGCCAGGCCTTCCGCCGCGCCATGGCGGCGGTGCCGGAGAAGCTGCTGCTGGGCCGGAGCCAGGCCGGCGCCATAGCCATCGGCAGAGTGGGTTCTTGGGATCGGAAAGAAATCGGTCGGCTGCCAGCTGGGAGGCTCGCGGTGGTTGGCTGGGGCAACAAGACGACCCAGGTTGCCAGCTGGGAGGTTTATTTTTTGGCGCTGGGTTTGTTTTTTTCATGGAACATTGAGGCGTGCCGAGCAAACAAACCAAATGGGGGGTTTTGGAAGTGAATAGATTGCTTTTCAACAATTGGGAACGCCCTCAAACATGGTTGGAGACAAAACCCCTGTGTTTGTTCTTGTCCATCCACAGAAGAGTCCACAATTGATTAAGAGTCACACCCATATTCTTGCAAGCGGGAGCGTGAGTTCCACTCATGAATCAGTTATCAGTGCCACGGTGCCATCAATATTTCCAAAAGGACCTCTTCTGTCAAGGGTCGAGAACAAGGTCCGCGGTCAAGCGAGAGACCCGCCCATGCCCTTCCGCTCTTTTCAGCCAGCATGCAGCGGGTCAAGGGTAATCGGTCTATGAGACCAGCCCCCTTCCTTTGCCCGAACGGAAGAGGGAAATGTGCAGGATTCTACGTGTTACTTCTTGAAGTAGCTCAAAATCACCAAACCAGATGGTCGCACACAGGCACAGTGCTGGTCAGGCAGATTTTTGTTCGAGGAGCTGTCTTGCACATCAGGGCTGCTCGCCCAAACTCCCTTTCATGTCATGCATCACAAACTTTAGGACCCCACCCTCCAGGAAGGTTCTGAGGACCTCTAAAAAAATCCTCTAGGTGGGGATACTGTGTTGTCCACGTCCACTTTAAGAACCTTTCCTGGGTGGCTGGGGGGCCTTTGCGAGGAGGAAATCTCCAGCTTCGCCGCTCTGGAGCGCGCAGCCTTGCTGAACCAGGCCTGACGTGCGCCCGACCGAGAGAAAGAAGCGCGGGTCTTTGCTTCTGGCGGTCTTTCTTTGAGGCAAGTTCCTTTGACGTTCAGGAGAAAAGGTGACGTTCCACACCACTGAAATGCATCCGAAATATCTAAGCAGATACATTGCCACTTGGAGGACTTTAAGGGCACGGGGCCAGCTCTGGGCCAGAAGCCAACTTGTCTTTTACTTTTCAGAGATGCCGAACCGCAGGCGACCGGTCAGGGGTTGCTTTGCGCACTTGTAGGTGTGGGGTTGAAAGGATTGCGACTCCACAACACCATACCCGGTAGAAATGAGCAAATCCGGAGTTGCTCGTGATTTTTTTTCTCAGCATCGTGTTCAGTGAAACGTGCGTAAGCTGTTGTTGAGACTCAATCATCAGGCCCAAACTTGTAGGTTGAGATGAGTTAGTTGAAGGTCAACTTCCCGATTGCGGAAAAGATATCAGGAGCAAAGTGTTTGTGGCACGAGCTATTCGCGCAAAAGTCAGTGTGAGCTGAAATGATATTAAATATGGCTATTGACACCCTTCACAGAGGATTCGCTCAACATTGCACATTTGCCATCATCAAAGGAAGTTTAATCAAAGGAAGTTTAACAAGAAACTTCCGTAGTACTGGAACTAAATGAGCTAGCTGCTTTGACATATAGCTATGACAGGTAGCTAGCATGACAAATAGATAGCTTTGACATATAGCTAGCTTGACAGATAGATAGCTTTCCAATAGGCTTGCATGACAGATAGATAGCTTTGACATATAGCCAGCTTAACACGTAGATAGCTTTCTCAAGTATAGATTTCGTGGCAGGCGCAGCACTTTCGCAAGCACTCTCTGCGAGCTGGGGGATGGCAAGATGCAGAAAACGTTGGCGCTGTGCGTGAATTGGGCTTCCGGACTGTGCGCAAACCACCTCGGCTGCGACGCCTGTACGGAGGCGGTCTCGGAACGGTCTCGGAACGGTCTCGGAACGGTTCGGAACGGGTTCGGAGACGGGCCCATTGGCACGGCCGCGCGAAGGTTTCGCAAGGTTTGAATTGCGTGGCAGGCGCAGCACTTTCGCAAGGTCAAGTATAGATTTCGTGGCAGGCGCAGCACTTTCGCAAGGTCAAGTATAGATTTCGTGGCAGGCGCAGCACTTTCGCAAGCACTCTCTGCGAGCTGGGGGATGGCAAGATGCAGAAAACACTTTCGCAAGCACTCTCTGCGAGCTGGGGGATGGCAAGATGCAGAAAACGTTGGCGCTGTGCGTGAATTGGGCTTCCGGACTGTGCGCAAACCACCTCGGCTGCGACGCCTGTACGGAGGCGGTCGGAACGGTCTCGGAACGGGTTCGGAACGGGTTCGGAACGGGTTCGGAGACGGGCCCATTGGCACGGCCGCGCGAAGGTTTCGCAAGGTTTGAATTGCGTGGCAGGCGCAGCACTTTCGCAAGGTCAAGTATAGATTTCGTGGCAGGCGCAGCACTTTCGCAAGGTCAAGTATCGATTTCGTGGCAGGCGCAGCACTTTCGCAAGCACTCTCTGCGAGCTGGGGGATGGCAAGATGCAGAAAACGTTGGCGCTGTGCGTGAATTGGGCTTCCGGACTGTGCGCAAACCACCTCGGCTGCGACGCCTGTACGGAGGCGGTCTCGGAACGGTCTCGGAACGGAACGGTTCGGAACGGGTTCGGAGACGGGCCCATTGGCACGGCCGCGCGAAGGTTTCGCAAGGTTTGAATTGCGTGGCAGGCGCAACTTTTCAAGTATAGATTTCGTGGCAGGCGCAGCACTTTCGCAAGGTCAAGTATCGATTTCGTGGCAGGCGCAGCACTTTCGCAAGGTCAATTTCGTAAGCATTTCGTGTGCAGGCGCAGCACTTTCGCAAGGTCAAGTTCGTGGCAGGCGCAGCACTTTCGCAAGGTCAAGTATAAATTCGTGGCAGGCGCATCACTTTCGCAAGGTCAAGTACAGAATTTGTGGCAGGTGCAGCACTTTCGCAAGGTCAAGTGCAAAATTCGTGGCACGCGCAGCACTTTCGCAAGGTCAAGTACAGATTTTGTGGCAGGCGCAGCACTTTAGCAAGGTCAAGCACACATTTGGTGGCAGGCGCAGCATTTTTGCAAGGTCAACTTTCGCAGCCGGGGCTCGAAAATCGCAACTTTTAAGTACGAAAGTAGTACGCGAAGTCAACTTTCGCAGCTGGGGCTTGAAAATCGCAACTTTTAAGTACGAAAGTAGTGCGCAAAGTCCACTTTCGCAGCCGGGGCTTGAAAATCGTAACTTTTAAGTACGAAAGTAGTACGCGAAGTCAACTTTCGGGGATTGAACATCGCAACTTTTAAGTGCAGAGAAAGATGGACTGATAGATAGATCAATAAACAGATATAGAGATAGCTAGAGAAATAGATTGCGTGGCAGGCGCAGCACTTTCGCAAGGTCAAGTATACGTGGCAGGCGCAGCGCTTTCGCAAGGTCAAGTATCGATTTCGTGGCAGGCGCAGCACTTTCGCAAGGTCAAGTGCCAAATTCGTGGCAGGCGCAGCACTTTCGCAAGGTCAAGTACAAAATTCGTGGCAGGCGCATCACTTTCGCAAGGTCAAGTACAGAATTTGTGGCAGGTGCAGCACTTTCGCAAGGTCAAGTGCAAAATTCGTGGCACGCGCAGCACTTTCGCAAGGTCAAGTACAGATTTTGTGGCAGGCGCAGCACTTTAGCAAGGTCAAGCACAGATTTGGTGGCAGGCGCAGCATTTTTGCAAGGTCAACTTTCGCAGCCGGGGCTCGAAAATCGCAACTTTTAAGTACGAAAGTAGTACGCGAAGTCAACTTTCGCAGCTGGGGCTTGAAAATCGCAACTTTTAAGTACGAAAGTAGTGCGCAAAGTCCACTTTCGCAGCCGGGGCTTGAAAATCGCAACTTTTAAGTACGAAAGTAGTACGCAAAGTCCACTTTCGCAGCTGGGGCTCGAAAATCGCGACTTTTTAGTACGAAAGTAGTACGCGAAGTCCACTTTCGTAGCTGGGGCTCGAAAATCGCAACTTTTAACTACGAAAGTAGTACGTGAAGTCCAGTTTCGCAGCTGGGGCTCGAAAATCGCAACTTTTAAGTACGAAAGTAGTACGCGAAGTCAACTTTCGGGGATTGAACATCGCAACTTTTAAGTGCAGAGAAAGATGGGTAGATAGATAGATCAATAAACAGATATAGAGATAGCTAGAGAGATAGATAGAAAGAGAGAGAAAGAGACAGAGAAACAGAAAGAGAAAGAGAAAGAGAGAAAGAGAGAAAGAGAGAAAAAGACAGAGAGAGAGAGAAGCAAGGGGCCAAGGACAGTTCTCCAAACTATAGTTGTTCACTGCTTTGAAACTTCCGCCCCCCGGCTCTGCCGGACCTTACTTGTACCCATCATTGCTATCTTTGACATCACCCATCTGATCTGGTTTTGCCTGGCGAAACTTGAGGGACCCCGGCTGGTCTTGTGTGTTGTTTCCCTTTACCACAGCCATTCCAGGCGCTGTGTTGCTTGCGCCTGGGGGAAGCTACCGAGAAGGCTGAGGCGCCTGGGCAAAGGGGCGCCACCCGGGGCTTGCAATGCGGGGATCGAAGTCTTGGCATTGGGCCGAAAGAGAAACAGACCTCGCCTATGGTCAAGCTGCCTTTCTTGAAAGATCCCTCACTGCAGGGGTTGACTTATGTTGACTTGCCGACCCCTTTGCCATGAGCCCGGCAGGTCCTGGGGGTGTTTGAGGCAGTCTATGATGACTTCATGTCGTCGGGGCATGAATCTTGTTGCCTGGCATGTTTTGTGAATGGATGAACTTTGGGGGTTCTTGACGTTGATGCTACCCGTCGTGTTTTCACACATCTCAGTAAGCCCTGATGGATGAACTCAATCCAGGGTTGCTCCGAGTCTTGATTCGACCGCATTGATGCTTCTTGAGATGTGTGTTGTGCGAGACGAAGGAAATGTGAATGACGTGTCTCAAAAGCGGTTGGACAGTTTAGTGATAATGACCTGTCTGACTTAGGGATTCACAGTGGTCGATTCCAAGCTCGCAAGAAATTGGGGTGTTGACGTCGTTGTTGCAAAATAATTCAAGCACGGGTAGCTGTGCAAGCAGACATTTGTGCCATGATTGAAGTACCACTGCAACCAATATGCAGGGCAGCATCCAGGGGTCTGTCCTAAATGCAGCAACACTGCGAAAACAGAGATTGCTGACGTTTGATTAAATCGACCAGATCAAAGAGGGCTTGCGCAACCTGTTGCCGCAACTCCTGTTATATCAGCGGGTGAAAGCTGGAGCCGTCCATTGCTTGAATTGGCCAGAGCAGCTCGTGTGCAGAGCCGACTCCCAATATTAAGCATTGGGTTTGCGAATTTATTCTGTCTCTCTCTCTCTCTCTCTCTCTCTCTCTGAAGCGCAAGTGAGTAGGCGTGCTGCGGGCATCTAGGAGAGATTATTTCCGGATGATTAGGCTGTGTACCTACTGGCATCGGGAGCATGTATCATGTTCATTTGTTGGTAAGATCATGTTGTGACTCCGTAGGACTAGAGTCATACCCAGCAACTCAAATTACTTCGTTGAGTCAAGAAGCCACCAGGCCCCAGAATTTAAACACGACAAGAAGCGCGAGCACAGCATATCAGACTGGAAGCAGCCTCTCAAATATCCAAGAAGCTGTCGAGTTCCGCTTGGGTACCCAACAGACTCAACGGACGGTGGGGATGTGACGTGACCTCCCTTGCTCAACCATGGCCGGGCAAAATCAGGATATGGACCCCAGGTTTGAGTCTTGTCCACGTGGCCGCTGGGGCAACCTATTTCGGGGTTACCCGATTTTTCACCCACCGCCCAACTTCTCGGCAGAAGTCCAAACGGTCGACACGCAGGCGCTGAGCCATCTCCGCGACGCCTTGCACGCCTGCGACAGCGACTCCGCTCGCAAGGTGTCGAAAGGGGAGAAAAACGCCCCAAGTCGCGGGTTTTGCTGTTGGCTTTCAGCCAATAAAACACGCCGCTGCAAATCAAGGGAATATCATCTTCAACTCAGAGCCACTTCACTGGTTACCTCGCAGGTTGGGGGGTTTCCTTCGGGAGTGGTGCAGCAAGTTGGCCTTGACCTTAGGAAGCTAATGGGACCAATGTACAGAAGTGTGGGAGAGGTGAATGTGTCAATCCAAAAGTGTGTTTCTGAAACTATGCAGCTCCAGCTCTTATCCTTCAGACATGAACCGCAAATTGTGTGTGCACTGGTCCTGTTGAGTCAACAGGGAAAGCTGGTTGTTTGTCAAAATGAAATAAGTGTTTTGATGTGTTTTGCATTGGATCGCTTCTCCAACTGCATGATGATTCCAGCAGACAAGATGTTTAAGATCATGTTTCTTCCTTGCGAGAGTTCCTTTGTGGGCATCTCTTTTGAAGGACCTCAGAGAAAGATTTGCACAGCTGAATCCGTGGCTTATTTTTTCCCCACCAATCTGTGGGATGAGACTTCCTGGTGTCTAGGCACGGACCAAAGCGGGATAAGGCCTCGGCCAGGCAGGCGTCTTTGCGCCCAACTCTCCAGATCTGTCCCTCCCTAACCCCATGAATACGTCAACCAGTCAACCAATGGAACAGGCAACATATAATATAATATGATATAATACAATATATAATACAATATAATATGGTAGAATATGTGTGTTTTTTTTTCATACATGATATACATCATATATATATATGTATATATATATATGCATTAAATATATGTGAACATGTACATTGCGGTATATGTACCTTGCGGGGGGGTCCCAAACGCCTGAGGTCTCTTCCAACGCCACGGCGTCGGGGACGAGGTCGCCGAAAGCCTCGGGGCGCGCCCGGAGCTGCTGGCGGCGCTGCGGGAGGCGAGCCTCGCGGAGGCGCGGGGACCCGCGGGGACCCGCGGGGAGATGCGGAGGGAGTGCCTCAGAACCCGAGGAAATTTCGGCACGGGTGGTATGGGTCAACATGAACCAGGTTTTTCAGGCCCTCAGTAGTGCCCTTTTACGTGTTTTTTTGCGGGGGAGGTTCCGGTGGTAAGGTTGACCCCGGATTAATAGGCCAACCTGTTTGTTAATATGGGGGGGCCACCGGGTTTAGTGGGGGCTTATCACTTTTGGAGGGGAACACCCCCATATTGTTAACAGGGGTTATTAATCCGGGGTCAACATTATGGTCAACATTAAACCACCAGGACATGGAGTCCTTTCAAGATTCCAAGCCATGCGAATCAAAGTTGAAAACCAGGCTGGCTTGCCATAATGCCGTCGTGAACCGTCAGGTTGTTACCAGGGGCTCTTGTGGGTATGGGTCAAAACTAGTCACCAGGATATGGGGAAACATCATGTTTTCGGAGGAATCGCCTAGTGTGTTCCGCCCGCTTTCCATTTTGTTTGATGGGGTTCCCTGGAAAAATTGTCAATCTTTGAGAGACGGCCTCTTCTCATTGCTCAACACACCCTTTGATCCTTTCACTCATCCCGCATGATGCGCAGCCGGGAGTCAAAGAATGAAGAAGCATAACAAGTACGGTTGCAGGCGCTAACTATTGTAGGTGCATAACAAGGAAAGCAAAAGGAATCCCTTTGAGGGGCTTCCAAATAGTAGCAAATTTGGGAACACACAACACGGGATCATAAGGGAGCATGAAGAATATTGGAAGCCTCCTAACAACAGTCCACTTGTCTTATGCGTCAAAACTGCAGACCAACGTGTTGGCTGATTTATGGAAGTGTCCCACTCTTGGCATGCCTAAATTCCTGACAGGCCGCCCCCTTACTTTGCTCGAGGGCCCTTTTTGTCGGCCCTTGTTTCTCCAACACAAAGCATTGTTTGAATTCCCACCCAAACAACCCAGGCACACCCCCAGGAACCCCCCAACGGACCAAATGCTCAGCCCTTGCAGGGTGGCACCTGGATGGCAAAGGCTCACTTTCGACGAGGCAAATCGTGGTCGGGCCATCGCGAGTGTACTGACGGCCAAAAAGGGAGTGTTGGGTTTGAGAAGCGCCCCTCCAATTTGTTTTCTTTCAGGCTTTGCCAGATGAGTCTACTCTGTCCCCCCCACAGTTTCCCCGCGTTGGAGAAGTGGTCTTTGAGGTTCCTCTTGTTGTCCGTGCGCGAGGAAGGCTTGGCGCCTTAGCGGCTTAGCCGTTGGCTCTTAGGCACCCACCTTGGCAGTTTCGTCTGAGCGCATTAAACGGCCGAATGCCGTGGCTCCGGCAAAGCTGGAAAGACCGATTCTAGACAGCTCAAGGCGTTTATGGACCTGTCTATTGCCAACCGCAGAGGCGAGAGGCAAGTGAAACACAAACAAAGGACTACGTCCAATGATGAAGCTTGCAGAAGCCAAGCGAACAAGATTCACCGATGATGTTGGGATGTGTTGACTGACAGTCAACAAGACATTGCTCTCACGCTCAGTTGTTGAGTTGTTTCTGCGCCTTTGGTAGGCTCAACGTGACGATCAAACCAGTCGCTGAAGTGTTGAGGTTTGTCTTTGGAAGGTTTTGTGCTGAGTTACGTAAAGATTTTGCATTAATGTTACAACCCATCACGTGTCTTTGGTGTGAGTTTGTGTGGCCAGCTTTCCATACTTAGGCAAGTGGTTCCAAGCTCATGTCATTCTGATCAATCCATCCCGTTGACAGCTGCCAGCTTATGATGCATGATTGTGGAGGCCATTCAGTTGCGATGTGTATTCTAGTTGGAATGATGCCTGACTGCAACCTGACATGTTCCCGCAACTTGGCGCTACCCTAGCCAGCACGCTTTTCAACGCCAAACCACAGAAAGTCGCCTGTCTACTCTGCCATCTCGCAGTTGCTTGGCAGCATGGGGTCAAGATTCCGAACGGAATGATGCGGATGTCTCGCTCAAAGTTCCCCATGTTCACGGCTCAAGCCCATGGCACCAATGCTCGATGGAGACAGTTTTATCCGTTGACAGCTTTCGCAATCTGTGGGAACCAAGCTGGCGACATGTCGCAGGCATGGCCAAAGAGAAGTTGCAATACCTGGCGGACGCGCTTGTGGACTACCAGGCCGGCCTTATGTTGATCAAGGGTATGCGTGAAGCTGCCGATAGGATTTCGACAAGTTTCGGATACCCTCCCTCAGGTTCTGGCGGCTTCTGACCGCGGTCTTCGCCGCTTTTCGGGTCGTCTTGCCACAAGCGCATGCTTTCGCTGTTGAAAATTCCCTCGACGTGTTGTTTTGTTGCTCGTGCTGGGTGACAACCATCCATACCCCTTTGCAATTCGTGGTTCATGTACAAACCGGCTGGCTACAGCTTCGCAGCGACCACAATGGTTCCCCTTCCCTCGACGCCGAAGGAAGCAGTAGCCAATCCTTCTTAATCATGGAAGCCGCCCCGGGGGAAGCTGACAGGGGCCAGGTTGCGCTTGTTCCCTTTGGCAAACTGCGAGCATCTTATAGTGCAGTGACCCCGCCTACGATCAAGGTGGGATCCCACATGTTTGATTCAAGGTAGGCGGATTTGCTTTGATTCACTCAGGCATGGGATACTTGGATTGCTACCACACTCGGCTCAGCGACCAAGCGGTTGGGGAGGGATTCTGCTGCTGGTGTTTTGCTGGCGTTGCACAACGTAAGTTTTGCTCAGTGATTTAAGGCCATCGCAAGTCCAACTGGCTCATGATCAGCCCCCACCGCTGAGAGTTGTTTTTGCCACAAGGAAACCACTCTTCCAGGAAGCCAAGGGGCCTGGAGACCATGTAGAATTTTCGCATGTTGATTTCATGGAGTCCCGTGTCTGGAGAGGCAGCTCTGAAGCTGGAGCCGGGAGACGGCATGGTGCAGAGGCATCTCGCCAGCCTCAAAGCGCGGCAGCAGAAGGCGGGGCTCCGATGCGCCAAGAAACGCCAAGGGGGGCCTACACTTCTTGGTGGTTCCCAGCCATCCCCTTAGCTTTTTTGCCTTTTAGTGTTTAGTGGGGACTTCCATTTAACCCACCAAACAGTTAAACTTCTAGCGGGGGATCTGAGGACAGCCCAGACTTAAGCACTACGAAGAGACTGTTTGAATAGACACCGAGGGAAGTAAAGCGTGACATGGCGTGTCCATGGATGGCCGATCTAAAGCAAAAGCAGTCACTCACATATTGCCGGAATGAGGATGGCGCCTGTCAGGAGGCTCTGTGGACTTGGCGATGCCTTAGTTTGGAAGAAGCCTTATTTCGCACACACAACCCGGGTGAACCATCCCAGGGGGTACTACCATACAGGTAGTATATCTATATGGTATAAGTATGTATTACTACTATGTCTATTCTGTATATGTACGAGTATAATACGATAGTATAGTATAGGAACATATTTATTGCTAGTATAGCAGTAAATGTCACCAGCTATGGTCGCTGGAGGCTGAGCTGAAGCCGGAGCGGATGTTTGCGGGCATCCTGCAGAGGGAGCGGAGCGAGCGGGAGAAGGAGGCGGCTTGACATGCGAAAAACCGGGCAGAACGCTTCAAGCCTAGGTCCCCGAGAAGTGCCCTTTTGCCCTTTTTTGGGGGAGGGTTCCCCTACTAAGATAGGCTTCACAGAAAAAATCGGGTACCCTTCTAACCTCTCTACTGGAGGACCCAGAAGCCATGTGAAAAACCTTCAGGGGAAACAAGGTGAACCAAAAGGCCAGTGGAGCCGAGGGGAAGTTCACCACGTGGTAAACAGGTTCCCTTATACATGGAAGGATGCTGATAAATCTAAAGATGGGCCGCGAATAAAATGCAATGGTGACGGTGCCCGACAAAGCAACATGCTCATGGCCTGGTTGCGCAGAGTTTACTACTTGCAGAGTTCCTCTAAGTAGTGAGCCAGTAAAATGGGTGGTCTCTTTGTGAATTTCCTTCAAACCAACCCCAAACTGGGTATCCTCAGAAGAAGAAGCACACTACACTCACTTGGTTTGATTATCACCCTCTTCGGCTCCCAAGTGCTTGCGTGACGGCCATGACCCGTTTGATCCGTCGCCTGGCTCCCCTCCCCACATCTTGGGATTAAATGACTACTCGAAGTAAGCTGGTCATCGGATGCCACAGACAAAGTACTCCAGGATTCCATAGACACTGCTTTCAAGGATGCCGTAGGCGCCATAGACACCTAATTCAAAGATGCCATATGCGGTTTGAGGTTGCCGTAGGCGGCTTCGGTCAAGGTTGCTACAGGCACAGGGCTCAAAGATGCCGTAGAAGAGGAACTACAGGAGGTCGTAGGCGAATCACACTAGGACGCCATAGACGAAGATCTCTAAGACGCCACAACCACCTCACTCCCAGATATGCCCTCAGGTTTAAAGCTGCACGTTTTGTCTCCTGCAGAACCCAACCTGCACCGCCAAAGGCTTCTTGATCAGCTCCAAAATGACCTGCGCTACCCGGTCGCCCTCCTTGAGTGCCACGTCCCGTCCGGTTGCATCAGTGGCCTTCTTGGGCATAACAACCACTTCTTCCAGCGGCTGCACCCTGAACTCCTCTCCGGGCCAGCTCCGAGCTGTGTCCAGGCCATGCTCTTCAATAACCTTCGCCAAGACCGCCGCACAAATGACCAGGATGCTGCTCACCTCCTTCATCACGAAGACAGCATTTCCCGTAGATCCAAGGAGAACATTGACTCCTCGCCGAACGACACCAACCGCCGCCTCGGCTTGACCCTCTCCCCGACCATAGCGTTCATATTGCTTCCCACCGTAGATGGCTTCCGACGTGGGCGTCATCTCTTGGAGGGCATACTCTGGCTGAACGCAGCCGCGGTGGAGGACAAGGGCCTCGAAACCGAACTTTGCGCCACGTTCGGCAAGGTCAGGGAAAACCTCCTCTTGAGCCGCCAGGCAGCTGAGTCCGATTGCGCTCATCTGGGACCTCCGCCCACTGCTGGATGCCCTTGAGCCACCTCCACTTGCGAGAAAGATCTCCAGGCTCCTTCAGCACGGGCAGCAGATCCACACGCCATCACACGCCCATAAGCGCCCACCAGGTCCTCCGGGTTCACCCTCTCCCATGGCGGACGCCGTGTGCAGCCTCACTCAGGATCCGGCAAAGCCTCCGGCGTTGCAGGGCGCGCCCGCGCGTTTGTGGACGCTGTGTCCGCGGAGGTCTCGCTGTCGGCCATGAAGCGCTGCTCAGCGCTCCTAGGCTCATATCCCTCGAGATCGTCGCAAAAGCGATTCTTTTTCCTCCTACAATATTGATTTGAAAAGGCTTCCATCAAATCGTTCACGCACGGGCTAGAGAACCTAGAGATTCTGATGGACGGGCTCAGATCAGAAGGGATACCGGGCGAAACTCTCAAAATGGCTGCTACTTCTATTTCCCCTTTTTTGCCCACCCGAAAAGCCTGAAGCACAGCAGAGCTTGATGGTTCCGGTGAGCCCAGAGGAGGCTGCTGCTGAGCTGGCGGAGAAGAAGCGGCGCCGTGCCTTGCCGAACAGTGGACTTTGAATGGGCGTGGCCCGTTCCTTTGGGGCTGGAAAAATGGGAAAAGGGAAAGCCCAAGCATCTGGTCGATTTTTTTTTTTCGAGTGCATGTCCAACCTGTTCGTTGGAGTTGGTAGCCCTTTCTCTGAGGGGCTAAAGAGAAACTAAGAGACAGTGGCCAGGCGTGGGTGTCTCATGTTTTGAGGGCACAATTTGTTGGGGCCGCTTTGCATAAAGGAAAACCAAGAGAAGACACGCACATTTTTGGGCGGGGATTCCCATGTTGCAGACACGCTTGCTGGCTGGAACGACAAAAGAACCTGTCCCCGTTCACAATAGATCAGGGTTTGAATATGTCTAAACAAGTGGTTGGACCAACCATGTTGAAATCTAGAAGGATCCGGATTCGATTTGCGAACTACGTCCCCCCACCCGATTTGTTTTGAAGCGTGTAACCACCCCCGACTAAAGCTTTTCCCACCAGTCATGAGAGGCGAAGTTATTGTTGCTTTGCAGGAAGGATTCAGGCATAAAGATCGCTCTACAGCCCGCCTCTCAGCTAAGAGGCCGTGAAACAGAGAAGAACTTAGAGGCTATGAAATCAGATTTACACTCACCAGGTCACTATACAAAACCGACGATAGAAATATGTTGCACATAGTATACACATATGAGCCACGGACAAAACACACGAAGACACTTTATCAAGGCGGGGTACGTTTTTGCATAACACATGCCAAAACCATGCAAAACGATAAGGTCTCCCCCAAAAACGATAACCCTTAGCTAACACACGGCTCTATAATATCCCCTGCAGTTGCAACTTAGCTAGGGTGGGACCCTTGCGTGGCCACCGTAAAACGAGAAGGCGAGTCGCCACTTTCGAGCTGGAGCTGCCAAGGTGTGCTTCGTAAATACGACACTTGTACTGAGAAGTTGCGATTTTCGAGCTGGAGCTGCGGAAGTGTACTTCGCGTACTAGACTTGCACGACAAAGTTTCGATTTTCGAGCTGGAGCTGCGGAAGTGTACTTCCCGACTAGACTTGTACTACAAAGTTTCGATTTTCGAGCTGGAGCTGCGGAAGTGTACTTCCCGTACTAGACTTGTACTACAAAGTTTCGATTTTCGAGCTGGAGCTGCGGAAGTGTACTTCGCGTACTAGACTTGTACTACAAAGTTTCGATTTCGAGCTGGAGCGCTGTGGAAGAGTGCTTCCCGTACTAGACTTGTACTACAAAGTTGCGATTTTCGAGCTGGAGCTGCGGAAGTTTACTTCGCGTACTAGACTTGTACTACAAAGTTGCGACTTTCGAGCTGGAGCTGCGGAAGTGTACTTCGTGTACTACACTTGTGCTACAAAGTTGATTTTCGAGCTGGAGCTGCGGAAGTGTACTTCGTGTACTAGACTTGTACTACAAAATTGCGTTTTCGAGCTGGAGCTGCGGAAGTGTACTTCGTGTACTAGACTTGTGCTACAAAGTTGCGATTTTCGAGCTGGAGCTGCGGAAGTGTACTTTGCGTACAAGTAAGGTCCGGCAGAGCCGGGGGGCGGAAGTTTCAAAGCAGTGAACAACTATAGTTTGGAGAACTGTCCTTGGCCCCTTGCTTCTCTCTCTCTCTGTCTTTTTCTCTCTTTCTCTTTCTCTTTCTGTTTCTCTGTCTCTTTCTCTCTCTTTCTATCTATCTCTCTAGCTATCTCTATATCTGTTTATTGATCTATCTATCTACCCATCTTTCTCTGCACTTAAAAGTTGCGATGTTCAATCCCCGAAAGTTGACTTCGCGTACTACTTTCGTACTTAAAAGTTGCGATTTTCGAGCCCCAGCTGCGAAACTGGACTTCACGTACTACTTTCGTAGTTAAAAGTTGCGATTTTCGAGCCCCAGCTACGAAAGTGGACTTCGCGTACTACTTTCGTACTAAAAAGTCGCGATTTTCGAGCCCCAGCTGCGAAAGTGGACTTTGCGTACTACTTTCGTACTTAAAAGTTGCGATTTTCAAGCCCCGGCTGCGAAAGTGGACTTTGCGCACTACTTTCGTACTTAAAAGTTGCGATTTTCAAGCCCCGACTGCGAAAGTGGACTTTGCGCACTACTTTCGTACTTAAAAGTTGCGATTTTCAAGCCCCAGCTGCGAAAGTTGACTTCGCGTACTACTTTCGTACTTAAAAGTTGCGATTTTCGAGCCCCGGCTGCGAAAGTTGACCTTGCAAAAATGCTGCGCCTGCCACCAAATCTGTGCTTGACCTTGCTAAAGTGCTGCGCCTGCCACAAAATCTGTACTTGACCTTGCGAAAGTGCTGCGCGTGCCACGAATTTTGCACTTGACCTTGCGAAAGTGCTGCACCTGCCACAAATTCTGTACTTGACCTTGCGAAAGTGATGCGCCTGCCACGAATTTTGTACTTGACCTTGCGAAAGTGCTGCGCCTGCCACGAATTTGGCACTTGACCTTGCGAAAGTGCTGCGCCTGCCACGAAATCGATACTTGACCTTGCGAAAGTGCTGCGCCTGCCACGAAATCTATACTTGACCTTGCGAAAGTGCTGCGCCTGCCACGCAATCTATTTCTCTAGCTATCTCTATATCTGTTTATTGATCTATCTATCAGTCCATCTTTCTCTGCACTTAAAAGTTGCGATGTTCAATCCCCGAAAGTTGACTTCGCGTACTACTTTCGTACTTAAAAGTTACGATTTTCAAGCCCCGGCTGCGAAAGTGGACTTTGCGCACTACTTTCGTACTTAAAAGTTGCGATTTTCAAGCCCCAGCTGCGAAAGTTGACTTCGCGTACTACTTTCGTACTTAAAAGTTGCGATTTTCGAGCCCCGGCTGCGAAAGTTGACCTTGCAAAAATGCTGCGCCTGCCACCAAATCTGTGCTTGACCTTGCTAAAGTGCTGCGCCTGCCACAAAATCTGTACTTGACCTTGCGAAAGTGCTGCGCGTGCCACGAATTTTGCACTTGACCTTGCGAAAGTGCTGCACCTGCCACAAATTCTGTACTTGACCTTGCGAAAGTGATGCGCCTGCCACGAATTTTGTACTTGACCTTGCGAAAGTGCTGCGCCTGCCACGAATTTGGCACTTGACCTTGCGAAAGTGCTGCGCCTGCCACGAAATCGATACTTGACCTTGCGAAAGTGCTGCGCCTGCCACGAAATCGATACTTGACCTTGCGAAAGTGCTGCGCCTGCCACGAAATCTATACTTGACCTTGCGAAAGTGCTGCGCCTGCCACGCAATTCAAACCTTGCGAAACCTTCGCGCGGCCGTGCCAATGGGCCCGTCTCCGAACCCGTTCCGAGACCGTTCCGAGACCGTTCCGAGACCGTTCCGAGACCGCCTCCGTACAGGCGTCGCAGCCGAGGTGGTTTGCGCACAGTCCGGAAGCCCAATTCACGCACAGCGCCAACGTTTTCTGCATCTTGCCATCCCCCAGCTCGCAGAGAGTGCTTGCGAAAGTGCTGCGCCTGCCACGAAATCGATACTTGACCTTGCGAAAGTGCTGCGCCTGCCACGAAATCTATACTTGACCTTGCGAAAGTGCTGCGCCTGCCACGCAATTCAAACCTTGCGAAACCTTCGCGCGGCCGTGCCAATGGGCCCGTCTCCGAACCCGTTCCGAACCCGTTCCGAACCCGTTCCGAGACCGTTCCGAGACCGTTCCGAGACCGCCTCCGTACAGGCGTCGCAGCCGAGGTGGTTTGCGCACAGTCCGGAAGCCCAATTCACGCAAGCCCAATCTGCACTTGCCACAGCGCCAACGTTTTCTGCATCTCTGCATCTTGCATCCCCCAGCTCGCAGAGAGTGCACCTTGCGAAAGTGCTGCGCCTGCCACGAAATCGATACTTGACCTTGCGAAAGTGCTGCGCCTGCCACGAAATCTATACTTGACCTTGCGAAAGTGCTGCGCCTGCCACGCAATTCAAACCTTGCGAAACCTTCGCGCGGCCGTGCCAATGGGCCCGTCTCCGAACCGTTCCGAACCGTTCCGAGACCGTTCCGAGACCGTTCCGAGACCGTTCCGAGACCGCCTCCGTACAGGCGTCGCAGCCGAGGTGGTTTGCGCACAGTCCGGAAGCCCAATTCACGCACAGCGCCAACGTTTTCTGCATCTTGCCATCCCCCAGCTCGCAGAGAGTGCTTGCGAAAGTGCTGCGCCTGCCACGAAATCTATACTTGAGAAAGCTATCTACGTGTTAAGCTGGCTATATGTCAAAGCTATCTATCTGTCATGCAAGCCTATTGGAAAGCTATCTATCTGTCAAGCTAGCTATATGTCAAAGCTATCTATTTGTCATGCTAGCTACCTGTCATAGCTATATGTCAAAGCAGCTAGCTCATTTAGTTCCAGTACTACGGAAGTTTCTTGTTAAACTTCCTTTGACTAGACTTGTACTACAAAGTTGCGATTTTCGAGCTGGAGCTGCGGAAGTGTACTTCGTGTACTAGACTTGTACTACAAAGTTGCGATTTTCGAGCTGGAGCTGCGGAAGTGTACTTCGCTTACTAGACTTGTACTACAAAGTTGCGATTTTTGAGCTGTAGCTGCGGAAGTGTACTTCGCGTACTAGACTTGTGCTGCAAAGTTGCGATTTTCGAGCAAGAGATGCGGAAGTGTACTTCCCGCACTAGACTTGTACTACAAAGTTGCGATTTTCGAGCTGGAGATGTGGAAGTGCACTTCGCTTACTAGACTTGTACTACAAAGTTGCGATTTTCGAGCTGGAGCTGCGGAAGTGTACTTCGCGTACTCGACTTGTACTACAAAGTTGCGATTTTCGAGCTGGAGCTGCGGAAGTGTTCTTCGCGTACTAGACTTGTACTACAAAGTTGCGACTTTCGAGCTGGAGCTGCGGAAGTGTACTTCGCGTACTACACTTGTGCTACAAAGTTGATTTTCGAGCTGGAGCTGCGGAAGTGTACTTCGCGGAAGTGTACTTCGCGTACTAGTGTACTACAAAGTTGCGATTTTTGGAGCGCTGTGGAAGTGTACTTCCTACTAGACTTGTACTACAAAGTTGCGATTTTCGAGCTGGAGCTGCGGAAGCTTACTTCGCGTACTAGACTTGTACTACAAAGTTGCGACTTTCGAGCTGGAGCTGCGGAAGTGTACTTCGCGTACTAGACTTGTACTACAAAGTTGCGATTTTCGAGCTGGAGCTGCGGAAGTGTACTTGCGCACTAGACTTGTACTACAAAGTTGCGATTTTCGAGCTGGAGCTGCGGAAGTGTACTTCGCGTACTAGACTTGTACTACAAAGTTGCGATTTTCGAGCTGGAGATGCGGAAGTGTACTTGCGTACTAGACTTGTACTACAAAGTTGCGATTTTCGAGCTGGAGTGCGGAAGTGTACTTCGCGTACTAGACTTGTACTACAAAGTTGCGATTTTCGAGCTGGAGCTGCGGAAGTGTACTTCGCGTACTAGACTTGTACTACAAAGTTGCGATTTTCGAGCTGGAGATGCGGAAGTGTACTTCTCGTACTAGACTTGCACTACAAAGTTGCGATTTTCGAGCTGGAGATGCGGAAGTGTACTTCGCGTACTAGACTTGTACTACAAAGTTGCGATTTTCGAGCCGGATCTGCCAAAGCTGGAAAACACTGTAAAACGATAAGGTCTCCCCCAAAAACGATATCTTTCAAAAAAGTACTAGGGCCAAGTAAAGTGTTTCGTCCGCTCCTCATATGTTATATATGTATTTGCTGCTGCATGCACCGCCAGCTTCGAAGGGGGAAAGCGATTGCGGGAATCCAGAATGACACTTATTCAGCGTTCACCCTGTGACTAAACCGTCAGAGTGACTTTTGGAGTGGCTTGTTTGAAGACGACTCAGTGTCATTTCAATTGAATTGACCCAGTCGTCGCATGTTTTCTCTCGGGGTTCCATGAACATCCCAGGCGAGCAGCGGCTGGCGAAAAGCGGACAGTCAGAGGCAAGCTGGAAATGGGAACACGGCCCAAAATGGCCCCGGTTTCCTGCCCACTTCCACTTCCAAGCCCTCGTCCTTCTGCGAACGTCATGTAACTTTGCAAAAGATCCGGGTGCAGCAGACCTCAGAAAAATACCAGCTGAATTGCTGGTCCGCCCTTGCTGACCAAGTTACTCGAATTGCTTTGTTTTTTGGTCTGATCATGCCTGAGTTTTCGGCACTGGCCATTTCTTCGAAAACGGACCTTGAAAAAAGGATGGGCAAGAACTCTGTTGGGTGGTGCCAGAAAGGAGTCAAGGACATGAGTTGCGGAAATGATTGTGAGCTGGTGTGAGACCTCACACGAAATGTGCGAGACAAACATGTCATGGCTTTCCAGGCTCTTGATGCATGCGAAGGCACCGCCTGTGTCACAGAGTGTTTTGGCATCATCGGCATCGGTATTGTTGAACACTGGTCTTTTGTTGTTCATACCATCAAAGAAAATACAGAAGTGCTCAACAAAAGCGGGCGTGATTCCGATCTGGCTTTAGGTGTCCTCTGTTGCGAAGGCGTGTTGTTTCTCCTCTCACGACTAGGATGCTCGCACTCGGTGCCACATCCCGCTCGGTTTCAGCCAGGTGCAAAGCGGCTGATGCCCCCGACATCACCTCAGCCCCCCGCGGAGACCTCGCTCCGGAAGGATCGCGCAGGCGGGCGCTCGAGCCGGGTCCGTGGGCTTGGAGATCTTAGGACCCTTACGACCGCAAGCCGAAGAGAGCGGCCAAAAAGCGCACCTTTCCCCCCCCCCCCCTCCCATGTTTTTTGTGGTTTTGAGCATGGCGAATGTGGCAAAAAAGCTGTGAAACCGACGACCCCCAGCCAAAATGAGCATATCCCACGAGCAAATGCAGCAGCTAGTCGCTGTTCGAGTGCTAGTTTATGAATCCAGCTTCTTCGGGTTTTATGGTTGCCCTCAGTGGCTTCCAGCCTTTGTCACTTTGTGCCTCCTTAAAACGCCAACTTCCCTAAAAGCAGTCAACCCCAAGGAATGATTCCTTTGTACCAGGGTCTCTGGGATTGCCATTTGACAGTTCGGCGTCTCACGTGAGCCCAGGTGCAGAAGGTCGAGTTTGGCGGAGGAGTTTGGCGCGGGAGTCTGAAGCGCGCAGCCGGGGGAGCGGAGCCGGGTACAAAGAAGTCGCGGGAAGGTGCCTCGGCCTCGCATCTTTCAAGCTAAACCTCAGCTGGGCACAGTGGCATGTCAACGCTGTCCTTGTGTGCCATCTTTGCATGTGTCCACAAGCCCTTCAATGTTTGAGTTGTTTTGAACCTTGGCCATTCCATCCACAGCACCTTGCCATCTACCCCTTCCCTTGGCGACTCGCTGCCGGTGTCAAAAAAGAAGTGCGCTGGTGCAGTCTTGCAGACATGACTGGTGGTGGTCATTTCCTGGGTGCTTTAAAGCCATGCCACCTTAGATGCTGAAGCAATGCACATGCAAAGAAGAAAATGCACGGACGTCCATCGGCTTTCGGTGCAGCCCATGCAGCGATGTCTGTCAAAAGTAAATGGCTGTGGGTCAAAAATAGGTGCCCAAAATGGAACCCTGGTAAATGGAAACAAGGGCTAAAACCTGCAGTCCCCTGGTGGATTAATTTTGACCCATACCCGAACAGTTGGCGGTTATCAGTTCGGTGAGCGTGAACTCATTGATACTCATTGTATGCAAATGTCTAGGTTTGCAATGGATCGGTGAGAATTTGTGTCACGATCAAAAAACCTGGTTGATTGGGGAAAGCTAGACCACCGGAAGAGCTTATGGTCCAGTGTCCTAAAACCGTGACAATCCCAGAAAGGTTTGCATATATATATATATATATTTGATCGCAGCACATAGGCCATAGGTTGCTGAAATTGTGTCACGATTGCAGAAGTTAGCGAGAGCCATGTAACCATGGTACGACTCTCTAGTTTGTTGCCGAATCATGGCTCTACAGGAAACCAGCCCCCAAATGGATCTAAATTCATTTGCGCGTGTATAATCAGGCTTGAAGACGGTCGTGGGAGGGCCAAAACTTTGTAACATGCTAACAGGGGCCATCGATTTCCTCCTGCTATTTGCCACTTGGTCAGGACAGCTTGCTCCCCTGCAAAGCAACTAGGGAAATTCCTCTAAATGTGTTGTTCTTATTAGGTTCCATGTTGTAGGGAGTATTTGCCCCAAAGATTCAGTGGCAGTGACTTGAATTCAAAATCCTGAGCCCAACAGGTTTCGGAATTCGTGTCCGGTGTGATTTGGGATGGATGCGAGATGGGGTCGGTATTCTTGAAGCGGGCTTGGGCATAGAGGATTATGGACTCCTGTTTTCGGGATTCACGCCCGAATTCCAATGCGACGGCACTTCTCGGATTACTTTTTTAGATATTCCATCAGTATCTGATTTGCTTGCTCCGTAGTTTTCGCTGGGCTCCGCTTGGTTTGTGTTATTGTGGCAATGCTCAAACCTTCCGGGCTGCAAAAGGAGTTGGTCCCAAGAATGGCTTCCGAGTTTGAGAGAACCGTTTGGCCCACCCAAACCCGTTTGTGAACAGCCCGTTTCCGGGAACCACTTTTCAGTTGTACAAGGAACGCGGAAACCCAAGGGAAACCAAAAAGGTAAGCACACTGGAAACAGGGGGCTCCGGGGCCAACGGGAAATCAAACGGGAACCAAAGTGGGTAACGCAAACAAAAAAAACGGGTAGCTCCTGTACAAGCTTTGCCAGCTTCAGCCACGCGCAGGATGCGGCCAACTACTTCTGGCGTCTAGCCCTGGAGATGGTCTCCGCTCCGCCCCCGCCAGACATTGGGCCGGAGGAGGCCATGTGGATGGGGCGGTTGCATGGGGAGGTCACGGTATTGACCCTCCTATGAACCAACCCCTGTTTTATTGAATTCGGGGGGTAATTAGGGGCCCCTCCAAGAGTGACACCTGATTCCAACCACTCAATCCAGAATCGGACAACCCCGTGTTAATATTCCGGGTTCATGAATAGGGGATCAACAAAGAAGCCAACGAGGAAATTCGAGGCTTCCGATCACCAGCCAGAAATACGACCGTGTTCCCAAAACCAGACCCTAAGTTCTTAAGGCCTTTTGCAGAAAGCACGTCTTGAGAGAGGGGTGTGTATCCTTTTCGTGCTGGTTCTCTGGAGGGAATCAACAGGTGGTTGGGGAACGAACCAATGGATCCCCAGCAAACTGTAAGCGGGTGGCTCATAGGGGGTGATTCCCTCATCGGCTGCTGAGAACCAGAAGCTTTTTGTTCGCCCAAACTGACTTTCAACTTGTTGGGAATGCCAAACTAAAGGCCGGAAAACACTGCTTGGCTCAGTCAGGTTTTGAGGGGGACCTTTTTTCAGGTGCTTTCAAGGGGCCTGCCAAACTCGGATTGTGTGCTTGTCGAAATGGTTGGCTCCTTTTCTTGCAGTCGGTACCTGGTTATTCGGGCATCGAATCGAGTTGTGCCCTCGCCAGGCCTTGCGGAGGAATGAGGCCTTGACCCAGAACTTTTGGGATCTTAGGAGAAGAGCAGACATCTACTACGCAGGGGAGCCCGCCCGGCTCTGCGAAAAAACACAGGGTTTAGTCTACTTTGCTGGGCATGCTGGGGAGGTAAGCTCTTTTCCTTGCCAAATGTTATGGCAGATGTAGCAGGCCCTACGATGATTGAAAGTATGCCGCATGTGTTGAAGGCAACTTTTCTAGGTAACAAATCGCATCTACCCCACTGCCAGAAACCAGCGCTCTCAGGCTTTCTGCCCGCAACGGCGATCTTCAGTCAATGCTTTAGGAAGGCTGATAAAGTTGTCTCGTGCTTCAAGTGGTTGGTGCAAGTGCGTTCTTCAAAACGGTTTGGCAGAGGGTGCACGGCTTGGTGTTGCCGAGCCAAAGTGCTAGGATCCTGTTGGGCTGCAGAGACAAGCTTGAGTGAGCGGGTGCTTGGTCCATACAAGACTCTTTTGTGTTCGCCTATTTCTGGACGGACAAAAGAGCATGGCCAACTTCCCGCAGGAAGCATAATGTTAGACCTCCTTTATTAATAGTCCCCTCTATTGTAGAAAGTTGTTTTTCTAATTCAGGATCCTGTGACTGTTTTAGGGGTCGGAAAATGCCGGAAACAACGCTGGAAAAAATATGAGCAAAAAGACTTGGCAAACAAGTCGGGCAAAAAAAGCAAACAAATCCTGGCAAACATTGGGAAATCCTTTTCTTGAAGTGCTCCCCAAACCATCAAATTTAAGAAAACGTCTTTACACAAAAGTGCGGGCCAACAGTCACACAAAGGGGGGTGCCCAGAAGAGGCCCAGATCCTCTTTCATGAAGCTGTTTTGGGGTCCTCTTTACTGTCCAGCTGGTTTCGGGGTTGCTGAAAATTGAAAACCAAAGCCTCAGCCTTTTACTTTCAAATGAGGGGGCTCATCCTAAGCTCTCCACAGCTCAAAGGTTAAAGGCCTGAGATCTAGGAAATCCATTTTGCACGTTGTTCCCAAACCAGCAAATTTAAGATAACTTCTTTACACAAAAGTGAAGGCAATCAGTCACGCAAAGGGGGGTGCCCACAAGAGCCCCTGATCCTCTTTAGTCTGACTGTTTTGGGGTCCTCTTTAGTGCCCAACTGGTTTCGGGGGTTGCTGAAAACACGGTCCTTGGCAATACTAAAATAGAATTGGCAATACTAAAGTCAGTACTGGGAATCTGAGAGGGGACCTTGGCAATACTAAAGTAGAATTGGCAATACTAAGGTAAGTACTGGGAATCTGAGAGGGGACCTTGGCAATACTAAAGTAGAATTGGCAATACTAAAGTACGTACTGTCCCTCCCAGACCCCCAGGATTTCCACAAAAGAGGGTCCAGCTGACTGGTTCCACTGTTCGGGGGGGGGGGGGGGTGTAAAGAGGGTCCAACATTACCAAGCTGGGGGAGCTTCCAAGAACCTGCCGGTTTCTCGTGACCAAGTTCAGCCAATAGCGAACCCGACGGAACGTGGCTGTTTGGTGCATTTCACCAGCAAAGGCAGGGGTGAAGCAGATGCATCAATTAAGGTTTTCCCGAGGCCCACCATACTCAGCTGACAAGGCAAGGATTTTGAGGGCAGCAACGTCCCTTACAAGCTGAGAGAAAGATCCAGTTCCACGAGCTCTTTTCGAAGACTTGGTCGCCCCATCTTGCCAAAAGGACCAGCACGTTGAGCAGTCGCCCCTGTGACTTCACTCGATGTCTCCCGCTATGAGGCCTACTCCTACATCCACTCCTACATCCAGGACTCAGGGCCGAACGGCTTCGATGGACTCAAGTTGAGCACGTAGCCTTTGTGGAAGGGCGCTGACGTTTGGAGCCTTTTGGTATGGGGCAACCATTTTGGGGCTCCTTGTTCAATTTCCCGGGCGCAATGATACTTTGAGGCGTGGTCACAGCAAGGAACCACATATATATATATATGTATATATATATATATATGTGTGTGTGTGTTTCTTTGCAGCGCCCCAAACAGTATGTAGGCTCAGGCCAGGGGTCAAAGTGCATTCGCTCCGCTGAGGATGTGTTGGCTTTTACATGTGCCATGCACCCCCCCAAAAGACGCCCGGAAAACAACAGAGGGCTTTCTGCGTCCGGTTGCGGATTGCAGGACCATAAGCCATATCCGCACGATGGCAAGTCAAGCTGATTTCCCTTTGGAGATGGCAGCAAAGAACATGTTGACTAACTAATTAACTACACCTAGAACCGCATGCGGCCTGAAGGTACACATCATGGCGAGAGAATGCAAGAACAAGATAGCACGAAGGACGGCAAAAAGCGAGCTCGCCGCGGCTGGTGAATGCCGAAGCGGAGAAAATGGCGACTGATATGACTGACGTTGACTCATGCTGAGGTACATCGAATCAGAATCTCTGTTGTGATCTTAGGTCCCTGATTTTGCGTCGATAGATCAACACAACACCCCCATCTTACCAGGAGTCGGCAAGATTCACAGAGGGAGAGGGTTTTCACACGTTCCCAGACCAATCCACCGGTCACGAAGGGATAGGGAGATAGCAATTGACAGGAGCCCTTCACCACTCTCTTGCCAGAGCACGTCTTCAACTGCGCGCTCTTTCTGCTCCTCGACTGTTGGAAGGGCTGGATGTTTGCTAAGCTCCGGGCTTGGCAGGTGTTTGTTTTCCTGAACGATATCCCG